GACTTCTTAATAACTCCTCTATCTGATTCCTTCCTGTGCACTTCTCAAATCCAGTGCACCATCTGTGACAAACTAATTTCAGTTTCTCAAATACATTATGCCTTTGCTCAGGCTGCTCCTTCCACCTTTACCACCTTCCTTTCTCTTTTAATTTTTATTTTTTTCATTTTTTCATTAAGGTTTTATATGTGTACATATCTTACCATTGCCTGTCCCCCACACTCCCATACATGCCCTCCCTCCTCAGAGTTTTGAATCCATTGGTTATGTTATATGCATGCATACAAGTCCTTTGGTGATCTCTTATCTTCCCCATATTTCCCTAGCCTCCCCACTATAATTTGACAGTCTGTTTGTTGCTTTACCACCTTTCAAGATTCAGCTTTTCTATGAATCTTTTTGTGAGCTGCCTCCCAGAATACAGAACTCCATTCTTTGAATACCCACTGTCCCATACCTCTATCAAGCACTTATAAAAAATTACTGTACTTATTTACATATCTCTCTCCCTCCTGTAAAAAAGTAATCTTCTTGTCCTAGCTGCTTTGGCTCAGTGGACAGAGCATCGGCCTGTGGACTGAAGGGTCCTAGATCCGATTCTGATCAGGGGCACATGCCCAGGTTGTGGCTCAATCCCCAGTGGGGAATGTGCAGAGGCAGCTAATAGATTATTCTCTCTCATCATTGATGTTTCGCTCTCTATTTCCTTCTTTCTTCCTCTCTGAAATCAATAAAAAAAATATTATAAAAAATTATACCAACATACATAAACATAATTCAAACTAGAAACCCAATACACAAAATTCGTGCATGGGGGCAGAGGGGTTGTCCCTCAGCCCAGCCTGCAATCTCTCCAATTTGGGACATCCCTTTCATAATCCAGGAGTGCTGGCTCCCAACTGCTTGCCTGCCTGCCTTCCTGATTGCCCCTGACCGCTTCTGCCTGCCAGCCTGATCACCCCCTAACACTCCCATGCCAGCCTGAATGATGTCTAACTGCTCCCCTGCTAGCCCGTTTGCCCCCAACTTCCCTCCTCTGCTGGCCTGGTCACTCCTAACTGCCCTCTGCTGCAGAGTTGATCGCCTTCAACTGCTCTCCCTTGCAGGCCTGGTGCCTCCCAACTGCCTTCCCCTACTTGCCTGATCACCCACAACTGCCCTCCCTTGCAGGCTTGGTGCTTCCCAACTGCCCTCCCCTGCTGGCCATCTTATGTCCACATAGGGGCAGGATCGTTGACCACATGAGGGCAGCCATATTGTGTGTTGGAGTGATGGTCAATCTGTATATTACTCTTTTATTACATAGAATAGAGGCCTGGTGCATGGGTGGGGGCCAGCTGGTTTGCCCTGAAGGATGTCCCGGATCAGAGTGAGGGTTCCCTTGAGGAATGGGGTGCCTGAGCGAGGGGTGGTTTGCAGGCTGGCCACGCCCCCCAGCAACCCAAGCAGAAGCCCTGGTATCTGGGATATATTTACTTCCTACAATTGAAACTTTGTTCCTGGAGTGGAACCAAACCTCCTGCTTGCTCAGTAGCAGCAGCCTTTTCTGTTTGAATTTACCTTCTATAATTGAAACTTTGTAGTCTTGAGTGGAGGCTTACACCTGCAAGGGCAGGTGGAAAGCTTGGCTTCCTCCATTGCCGGGGAAACACCTCCCTACTACTCTCTGTGGCTGTAACCCCCTTGGTTGGGTTTATTTGCATACTCGCTCTGACTGGCTGGTGGGCATGGCTAGTGGGCATGGCTTATGGAGAGGAGTGATGGTTAATTTGTATATTACTCTTTTATTAGGTAGTATTAGAATTTTTTTTCAAATTTAATAAATCTTTATTGCTCAGATTACAATTGTTTCTCCTTTTTCCCCCCGTAGCTCCCTTCCACCCAGTTCCCACCTCACCCTCTGCCCTACCTCCCCCCGCCATTGTCCTCATCCATAGGTGTACGATTTTAATCCAGTCTCTTCCAGCACCCCCCACACTCCTTTCCCCGATAATTATCAATCCACTCCCTTTGTTTGCCCCTGATTCTATTATATTAACCAGTTTATTCTGTTCATCAGATTTTTTTATTCACTTGATTTTTAGATTCACTTGTTGATAGATATGTATTTGTTGTTCATAATTTTTATCTTTATCTTTTTCTTCTCCTTCCTCTTCTTAAAGAACACCTTTCAGCATTTCAGCTTTTTCTTATCTATGAAGCTCTTGATCTGACCTTCAATTATGAATGATAACTTTGTTGGATAGAGTAATCTTGGTTGTAGGTTCTCACTACATCACTTTGAATATTCCTTGTCACTCCTGTATAGCCTACATAGTTTCTGTTGAGAAATCAGCTGATAATTATATGGGTGCACCCTTATAGGTAACTAACTGTTTTTCTCTTACTGCTTGTAAGATTCTTTGTCTTTTACCCTTGGCATTTTAATTATGATATGTCTTGGTGTGGTCCTCTTTGGATTCATTTTGTTTGGGGTTCTATGCGCTTCCTGGACTTGTAAGTCTATTTTTTTCACCAGTTGGGGGAAGTTTTCTGACATTATTTCTTCAAATAGGTTTTCAGTATCTTGCTCTCTCTTTTCTTCTGGCATACCCATAATTGTGATGTTGGTACGTGTGAAGTTGCCCCAGAGGCTTCTTACACTATCTTCAACTTTCTGGATTCTCTTCTCTTCTTGCTTCTGAGGAGTGTCCTTCGGCTCTTTGTATTCCAAATCTTTGACTTGATTCTTGTGTTCCTCTAGTTTGCTGTTGGGTCTTTATAATAATTTTTATTTCAGTCAGTGTATGTTTAATTTCTAGTTGGTCCTTTTTCATATACTCGAGGGTCTTATTAAATTTATCGGCCTTTTCTAGGAAATTCTTTTTTTTTTTTTTTTTTTACAGAGAGGAGGAGAGAGGGATAGAGAGTTAGAAACGTCGATGAGAGAGAAACATCGACCAGCTGCCTCTTGCACACCCCCTACTGAGGATGTGTCCACAACCAATGTACATGCCCTTGACCAGAATCGAACTTGGGACCTTTCAGTCTGCAGACCGATGCTCTACCACTGAGCCAAACCGGTTTCGGCTCTGGGAAATTCTTGAAAAACTTTATAACCATGGTTTTGAACTCTATATCCAGTCTTTTGTTCTCCTCCATTTCTTCCGTTTGAGATCTATTTCCTTGTCTCGGCATTTTCTTGCACAGCCCCTACCGGGGATGTGCCCAAAACCAAGGTACATGCCCTTGACCGGAATCGAACCTGGGACCTTTCAGGCTGTGGACCGACGCTCTACCACTGAGCCAAACCGGTTTCGGCTGTCTCGGCATTTTCACTGCTTCCTTGAGTTGATAGGATGACTTTTGTGTGTTTGGTGTCCTACATGACCCGGTGGGTCAGCCTCCCCAGTTACCTGAGGTAGACACTCTTGGTGCTCCTCTTTGTGGACTTTGTGTACAGCCTTGTTGTAGTGAAGTCTTGATTGTTGTTGGTATCACTGGGAGGAATTGACCTCTAGGCCAATTGGATGTGAGTATCAGCTGTGTCTACTTGGGATACCTTCTGTATTGGAGACAGTCTTATAGGATCAGACTTGCAAAATTGAAAAAGCCTCTGCGCTCAGATTGGATGGGGCGGAATCTCAGTGCTGAGCCAACTGTCTTGGCTTCCAGTCAGCCCTGTGTGCGTGCCTCAGACCTCTACCTTTCGCGGCTCCCCTGAGTTTCTGCCTGACTGTCCAGATTCCCCCTGCAAAAGCGTGGGTGTCCTAGGGGCTTGCCCAGAATTGGGTTGGGTCTCTATAGTCTGGAGCTTCCAACTCCTTCCACTATGGAGAGGCCGCGGCAACCTCTGCGGTCAGACCTCTCTGTGTGCACTCACTCGTATGCAACTGTAGACCCTGCTCGCTGCGGCTCCCGGCTCCCCCTGAGTCTCCCAGTTTCTGAGTCTCTGGGTGCCTTTCTCTATAGTTCAAACTCCCACCCATCTGAGCCTAGGTCCACGGGGTTCCGGATGGGGTTGGGGTTTAGTGCAGTCAGAACTGGGGTTCAGTGAAGCCGGGGGCTTCCTTTCCCCTCCCACCAGCCAGGCACTTGGCCGCCTTTCCTCTCTGCGCGCACGAATGTCTCCCTCTTCAGCACTTTGCAGCACCCCTGATCCATGAGCCTCTCTTCTTCTTTCTAGTTGTAGATTTTTCCACTCAGCCAGCTTTCCTGTGGTTTTGGATGATGTCCATTATGTCTTTTAGTTGTTGTTTTGAAATTGTTGTGCGAGGCGGCAGCTTAGGTGCCTACCTAGGCCGCTATGTTGGTTTTTCTCCAGTAGTATTAGAATTTTATTAACCAGGCAATAAGCATTTAGTGACTATTTTCCATGCGTCCAATACTATATCAAACCACATGGTAGATGCAAAAATAAAGACATGATCTTTTACTCTCCAGTAGTCTAAAGATTAAATTATCATGTATAAATTAAGTATTGATCATCAGAAAATAAGACACTAAAAAGCTGTTTTAAAAAATACATTGATAAAGAAGCCTATTTTGATACTTTTGCAAAAGTATTACATAATGAAATACTTCATTTGAATCAGGTTAGTTTTATTTTGTCTAAATTGAAGATACCTATGGGGAAAAGTCAACCAAAAGATAATAAAAACTAAATTGTTAAAAGAAAATGATCTTGTTTCAACTCACTTTAAATATTGAAAAAAAAATACTACTTTATTGATGTAGAATACTGAAAATGCTTCTAGATTCTTTCTTGTACACACTCTAAGGATTACAGAAGTCATCCAAAACAGAAATAATAAAGGTTTCCCTCCAGATCAAAGTTTATCATCTAGCTCTTCAGATAGTGAAAGCAGAGTCCATTCACTTCAGTAGAATTAAACATAGCCTATATTTATTTCAGTCACTTAAAACAAACATAAGATAGTGACATATATGCCACTAAAATAAGAAAGAATTTTTTAAATTAAATATTTAAACACAAATTATAACCAATGGCTTATACTTACCATTTTTATTTGCTGGTGAAAAAAAGTTGAAGACAGGAGAAAATATGGTCCCCAACAATGTAGTTCTTGGAGGACTGCCAGAGGAAGGGTTATCTTCTAATTTTCCATTTTGTTTTACATGTTGATTTGTCATTTCATAACTACCAGCTTCTAAGAAAAAAACAACAACAACAAAAGTTGGAATCTAGAAAAAATGGCTTTTAGAAATGTGCTCTAAGACATTCATTGTAAAAATAATTTTCCCAAAAAAAATTTCATGAAGAATACTAGACATTAATGTTAGGAAAGTTTATTATTCAAGAAATCTTGAGGTAAATCACTTGTAAGTCAAATCATCTTTATACAAATTTATAAAGCACTAAGCCTAATGCTTTATAGATGCTAAAATTCAGTTTTTTAAAGTACAGTTGACCCTTGAACAAGATGGGTTTAAAGTATGTTGATTTGCTCCTGTTTGACTTGGAGGTGCTAAATTGGATTTTCTTCAACAAATACAGTTGGTCCTTCACATCCCCAGGTTTTGCATCCACAGACTCAACAGTATTTATTATACTATTATATAGTTGGGAATCCATAGACACAGAGGGCTGATTATATGCATTATTGTATGCCATTTTATATAAGGGTCCTGACCACCTGCAATTTTTGGTATCCACCAGTGTCCCATGGATACTGAGAGACAACTGAAGTTTTGGGGAATTCACAAGTTATATGTAGATTTTAGACTGCCGGGGATTAGCGCCCCAAACATCCCTTCCCCCTCCGTGTTGTTCAAGGGTCAATTGTAGATTTGCATCTAGAATTATATAGACTGAAAAGCTTCATATCACCACAGAGTTAAAGAGAATGAAATAAAATCTTTGTAAGTGAAGCAAGTTACAATATCAAAAACACAAATGCAAACTTTTGTCTTTGGTTATTTATACTTTGGGATGCTGCCTACTTGACAAAACCTAAACTCCAATTTATTTCTAATGAATAACAGCAAAATAGCTCTACTGAAGCAGAAAATTATGTCAAAATTACTTATGGATACTGAGGCACCATTTCAAAGTAGCTAGGAAGAGTAACTCATTTTCTTTAAGTTTCTTGTGAATAAAGAATTTTCCATGGGTTTTTAAAAAATATTTAAAAACTAAATTCAAACAAATGTTTTGATTAATCATCTGTAACCTTCTACAACCTTACTATAATTTCTTTCCTTCTTCATTATAGCTCTTTTAACTTATTACTTTATTCCTTTTCTCCCTAGTGGTCAATTCTAACAATAGATACATAATTGCATTGAGAGGAAAAAGCTAAGAAATTATTATGTGTTTAAAATAGTATTGGTTAAAAGGCTCCATGCTCTCAAGTGCTATTCTTTAGAAAAATCTGTTATCCTTCTTGTTTTTCTCCTGTTTGACTTGGGAGTTGCTTGAACAGGGTTTATCAACAGCAACACTATTGATCTTTCAGCTGGATAATTCTTTGTTGTGGGAAGATGATCTGTAGGATATTTAGCAGTGTCCCCCTCAACAGGCTCTGACAACCAAAAAAAAAATCTCCAGATATTGACAAATGTTCTCCAGGGGAAAACCATCTGGAGTTGAAAACAACTGGCCTAAGTGATCCAACCCTCTCTGAACTTCACTGACCAAGAAACAAATTCTTTGTACATATTAAGAACATATTCAAATTTGTATGTTTACAAATTAAGTCACACTATTATTGCTTTAAATGAATTTATTAGAAGTAAAAAGTGATGCTCCATATATATTTTCATGCTATAGTCTATTTTCATGCTACAGTATAAAGCTAATTGCTCTCCCTTTGTCATTTTAATTCAGCAAAGTAGATTTATAGTAAGATAAATTTTCATTTAGCTTCAAGTTACTTAATATATAATACAAAGGAGATTATAAAACTAGGCAGAAATTGTTTAAAGTAGTTTTTTTTTTTTATAATAAAAAAGGAACATGTTGGGTCAGGTCTCTCTCTGTACCTAATAAAGCAATTATCTAAATATTAACAAACCTCCATTTACTTGACTTTTCCGTCTTACTCGAGATATCTGTTTAAGTTTTCCTCCTGCTCTTGGTGTTGATGTGATCAGATTATTATCTATATCACGTTCAATTCTACTCCGTTTCGAAGGATTTTCTCTCTCTTCCTTAAGATATAAAAGGAAAAACATTCATTGAATAGTCACTCTGCCTTATAGGTTACAGTTTTAAAATGATAAAATATGCACCCCAATTATGTTCACTGCAGCATTATTTATAATAGCCCACAAATGGAAACAATCTACGTGGTTTATTGATGAATAAAGAAAGTGTTATAAATATGCAATGCTATATTATTCAGCCATAAAAAATAATAAAACCTTACCATTTGCAAAAATATGGGTGGACTTTGAGGGTATTATATAAGTGAAATAAAATAAGTCAGACAGAGGAAGACAAATACTGTATGCCCTCACTTACATGTGGAATGTAAAATTTAAAAACAAACAAAACCTAGTTCATAGATACAGAGAACAGATTGATGGTTACCAAGGTGAGAATGGAATGAAGGGGGTGCAGGCAGGGGATGAGTGAAGGAAAACAAGAGGTACAAAATTCCAGTAATAAAATAAATAAGCCATGGGGATGTAATGTACAGCATGGTGGATATAGTTAATAATACTGTATTGCATATCTGAAAATTGCTAAAGAATAAATCTTTGAAGTTTTTATAAGAGAAAAAAAAACAAAACCTGGAACTATGTATGGTAACGGGTGTTAACTAGTTACTGTGGTGATCATTTCACAATACATACATATATCAAATCATTATGTTGTATAGACCTAAAACTAACATAATTATGTCTATACCCCCCCCCAAAAGGAAAATACATGGTATGATAGATTTTCCCATTTTTCAAATCCAGGAGAAACAAAACAGAATGTCTAATGTTGTTAGAAAACACAAGAAAAATTTGAGTGTCATAAGAGTATTTATTAATGTAATTATAATACGCAAATATAATTACAGCATTTCATAATTCAGATCCTTTTCCCAGGGTCCACTAAATTTCCATGCTATTGAAATACTTAATTTTACAATGTGCTCTGAATTTTTAGCAATTTTCCCATATTTCTAGAACTCCCTAAAAGAACAGAGGTCATTTCATGGAATTTGCTGACACCAAAAATGACAACAACAAAAAAATAGAGCCTGCCACTGCCATATCCCCCAAAATAATCTCAATTCTTTAAATGCCCAAAATTAACACTAAGGAGTCTACTCCATAACAAAGTTCTCTATTCATTTCCCTATAAGGGGCAAATCCATATATGACCAGTCTGTACTCTTCTTACAGTATTATTGACTAAAGTATATTCCAAGCAATAGCCTGATTTATTTTCTCATTTGTTTTTTTCTAATGTAATCTGCCATATGAGTGATTTTCTTACATTACTGTAATACTGGCCTGTAATTCCTTGCTGTTTTAATGAGACTACCTGAAATCTTTTGATAAGGACTAGACTTTTAAGTCTATATTACATATAATGTATACATATAATCAACATTCTTAATAGTAATAACTTCTCTACTTTTTTGTTATTGGATGCTTTTATACCATAGTAAATAATATACTACTATGCATTTTCTGAAAGTTGAAAATTGTTCTATTATTTCTGAAACAAACCCTGGTGTTTATTTTAAGTGGACAAAATTACAATTCCATATTTGGATCAAAATAGAAAAAAGATAATACTGCAAATACCATTCTATAAAACATTTTAGCCCTGATTGGCTCAATGGTTAGAGCATCGGCCTTCAGACCAAAGGGTGGGTCAGGGATTCAATTCCCAGTCAAAGGCACATACCTTGGTTACAGGTTCAATCCCAGCCCTGTTTAGGGCGAGAGCGGAAGGCAACCAAACGATGTATCTCTCTCACATTGATATTTCTCCACTCCCTCTTCTCCCCACATTTCACTCTCTAAAAATCAATGGTAAAAATATCCTCACTCCTCAGGTTAGGATTAAACAAACAAACAAGTAAAATTCCAGGGTATTAACAAAAATAAATAATTTTACTTTTACTGAGTAGTTTCTCTAATGTTATGTAGTTCCATCAAAACAATGTCATCACAGCCCTGACCGGTTTGGCTCAGTGGACAGAGCGTCAGCCTGAGGACTGAAGGGTCCCATGGTTAATTCCGGTCAAGGGCATGTACCGGGAGGTGTGTAGGAGGCAGCTGATTCTATATTTATCTCTCATAGATATTTCTGACTCTCTCTCTCTCTCTCTCTCTCTCTCTCTCTCTCTCTCTCTCTCTCTCTCTCCCTTCTCTATGGAAAAAAAAATCAATAAAATGTATTTTTTTAAAAATAATGTCATTACAGTAGCTACCAGGTACGCCGCCCCCCCACCCACCCCCACTCCCTTGCCCCATGGTTTTGCTTTCTGCAGTTTCATTTACCTGCAATATTAAATGAAAAAATCCAGAAATAAATAATTCTTAAGTTTTAAAATGCACTCTGAGTAGTGTGATGAAATCTCATGCCACCCGGCTCTATCCTACCTGGGACATAAATTATCCCTTTGTTTAGTGTATCTGCACTGTATATGCTATCCACCCATCTGTTAATCACTTAATAGCTGTCTCAGTTATCACATAGACTGTATCAGTGCTTTTGTTCAAGTAATCCTTATAGTAGTCTAACACTAGGTCACAATGTCAATGTCATTCACCTCACTTCATCTTATCACATAGGCACTGTTTCATTTCACATCATAAGGATAAGCACAGTACAATAAAACAGTTTGAGACAGAGACCAAATTCATATAACTTTTATTATAGTACTAGAGGCCCAGTGCATGAAAATTCATGCACTGGAGTGGGGGGTCTTTCAGCTTGGCCTGTGCCCTCTCACAGTCCAGGAGTTCTCAGGGGCGGGAAACAACCTGGTGATCAGGGAAAGGCGACACCTCTATCACACCTCTGCTGCTGCCACTGCTGGCAGCACAAGCCTCAGCTGGTCTTGGTTACCTGAGCCTCAGGCAGCCCTGAGCAGCTGGATAGCCACCATCCAACATTACCCGTGCCTCATGCCAGGCCTGGGTGGATGGGTGCCTGAGGGGACAGGGGACTCAGAAGCAGGTGCGTGGCAAGATTGGGGCTGAGAGGACTGTGCACCACCCTCTTTGAGGGTGTGTTAGTCAATTAGCATATTCTCTCCCTACTAGCTGTGGGCACCGCCATCTTTGAGGGTGGGGTAGTCAAATAGCACATTCCCTCCTTATTGGCTGGGGGTGCCACCATCTTTGCAATGGCATGAAGGTCATTAGCACAAAATTCGTTCATGGGTAGGGTCCCTAAGCCTGGCCAGCAATCAGGGCCAATCAGGTTGCCCACTTCCCTGCCTCATCCTTCCCTCACTCCCTCAGCACCCCACCATTGCCGCTGGTTGCTTGCCATGTTCCGCACCGCCACCTGGTGGTGAGTGTACATCATAGCTAGCGATCGAAATCCAGTTCTCTGTTTGAACTCCCAAAGAGACACTTTGCATATTAGCCTTTTATATATACAGTTTTAGTTGCTCTATTTTATTGTTAATTATTATTTTTAATTCTGTACTGTGCATTATTTAAAAATTAAACTTTACATAGGTTATGTATATAGTGTGAAAATTATAGTATACATATGGTTTGGTTCTATTAGCAGTTTCAGGCATCCACTGAGGGTTTTGGAAAAGTATCCCCTGTGAATAAGGGGGGAATACTGTATAGCACAAAATAATGTCTCCTTGACTCACAACAAAATGCCTCATATTCTTTCTGTTTATCATTCTTTTGCATTTTAAAATGAGCAGGGTGCCTCACATCATGGGATCTCCATTATTAGAAAATATAGGGGTCTCTTTATATAAGTCCTTCAAGAACACAAATATATAATGCCACAAAGCCACAACTAAATTCCAGCAACCTCTTAAGGAAGTCTCTTAGTATATCTGATATCTGATTTTCTGAAAAGCACGCATTCTGTAACACTAAAAATATTAAAGCTTATGTGGGAGGAACAGGTCCAGGAGGGCAGAGAGGGATATATTGGGGCAAATTAGTCAATGCCCCTGAAACTCCGTAACCATAGCATTAACAAAAACAATGACTGGGACCTCCGAAGATAATTTGGACACCCCAGACAGGCAGCTAAGAGAAGCTGAAATGCTGCTACTTGAAGGCTTTATAAAAGGTATTAAAAACAGAAAAATAGAAACAAAGACTTATCAGAGATAATAAGTGAAGCTTTTAGCCAGTAGGGCTGCTAAGATGGACCCAAATGGAAATGTAAACTGCCACATAAGAATCGCTGCTAGATCAGGCTAAACCAGGAGGGCACCAAAATTCGTATCTGATAGTTTAACTTCAATTTTTTTATTTTCCTGATAAAGTATAAAGTACCACTCCCATTATTCAGTATCACCCTGTCCAGTTTAGGAAAAACAACATATATAACAACACATCACCCATCCTATCCTATATAATAAAGAGTTAATATGCAAATGGTCATCACACCCTCACGCTGTAACATCTCAGACACTCAATACTGGGAAGAGAGGAATGGGGACAAGCCAGGCACAAATGAGCTTGTGAGAGAGGAATGGGGACCCCGCCAGGCTGTTGCCCAAGAAAAGGACAAGCCGCCCGCCCTGCAGTCCCAGGCACCAGCAGCTGCATCTGTGCATGCATCCCGGGAGAGGGATAATTTGCACGCCCCACAGTCCCCGCGGTTCTGGAAGCCAGCAACTGTGCCTACGCCTGCATCCCAGGAGAGGGACAATCCACACGCCCACAGTCCCTGCGGTCCAAGGCACCACTGGCTGTTCCTGTGGCCTGGGAGGACAAGCCACCCGCCCACGGTCCCCTGTGGCAGCAGCCAGCCCAGCAAAGCTGGCCCAGGTCCTGGCTGCCTGTGGCTGGCCAGAGGGAGAAAAGCCCAGGTCTTTGGTGCCTATGACTGGCTGGAGAAGGGAATCCTGGGTCCTAGTTGTGGTCGAGGCAGAGGTGGTTAGGGGCCATCAAGCCATCAAAGGAGCAGTAAGAGGTGATCAGTCCAGAAGGGGAGCAGTTAGGGGAGATCAGGCAGGCAGGTAGATGTGGTTAGGGGAGATCAGGCA